TACTTCGAGAAGTCCCGTTACGAGGAGGCGGTCAAGTACTTCACGGAAGCGCATCGACACGAACCCCACCGCCTGCAGGGCATGGAGTACTTGAGTACCGCTCTCTGGCATTTGCAACGAGAAGTGGAGCTCTCAATACTGGCCCAGGAGTTGATTGAATTTGATAAGCAATCGGCGCAGACGTGGTGTGTGGCCGGCAATTGCTTCTCACTCCAGAAAGAACACGAAACGGCCATCAAATTCCTTCAGCGGGCCATTCAAGTGGAGCCGGACTTTGCGTACGCGTACACACTGTTGGGTCACGAGTGGGCCGTCACCGACGAGATGGACCACGCGATGAGCTGTTTCCGTAACGCCACTCGTATCGATCCGCGCCATTACAACGCCTGGTATGGCATTGGAATGATTTACTATAAACAGGAGAAGTTCTCGTTGGCTGAACTCCACTACCGGAAGGCGCTGGAGATCTCGCCCTTCTCTCCGGTGCTCATGTGTCACATCGGAGTCGTACAGCACGCGCTCAAGAAGTCCGAGTCGGCGCTCAACACTCTGGACGTGGCCATCAAAATGGACCCGAAGAACGCGTTGTGTAAGTTCCACAGGGCGTCCATTCTGTTCGCTTTGGACAGACATCCGCAGGCACTCAGAGAGCTCGAAGACCTCAAACAGATTGTGCCAAAAGAGTCCTTAGTTTACTTCCTTATAGGAAAGGTATGTCTGATTATGGGTTAGCATTGGGTGTCATGTGATTAACTCGTGTATTGACCAATAGGTGCATAAGAAGATGGGTGACACTCACTTAGCACTCATGAACTTCTCGTGGGCTATGGATTTGGACCCAAAGGGCGCTAACAATCAAATCAAAGAAGTAATCGATAAACAGTATGCAAACGATGACGAAGAAGTGGTGGTCCACTTGGACCCGACGGAAACGGGTCGCAGCGGCGGCTCCAGTAGTTCCAGACATCGGTCCAACTCGTCGTCTATGGAGGCCGAAGAGTCGCTGCTCAACGATGTCGAGGCCATGATTGACGACAGCACTTGAATTACAAGTTTTATTATTATATAAAATAAAATTAAACTATAATTAATTGATATAATATTTCAATTTATTTACAAATTTTAAAACAATTATTTGCGATAAAATACTTTTAAAAATATATACAAAAACAATATAAATATCAATCAAAATAATTACTAAATATATAAGAAATAATAAATAATTGGGTTTTAATTTATGACAATTTATCCGCGAATAGCAATACTTAGTCCACTTAAACATCAAATAGTATTTTAATTAATTGTTTTGTTTTAAAAATTAACTTAAGGTAAGGCCGTTTGGATGGCAGACCTTAATCTCATTCATGATCTTTATTATTATATTTAATTAATAAAACCTTTTTTAGAATAATTTTCAATTAAAACACTTTAATATTTTTACTTTTAGTTCATTATAAATAAAATCCAAATTATTTATTAAATAAATGCAAAAGAGTGATCAATAATTACATGTATTTATTAAGTTTAATATATTTATTGAAATATTTTACTCAAGAGTTCAAAATCGACGCCGTTATCAGCAGTTGTCTTATTTTTACGGATCAGCTCATCGGTGACTCTTTGCTTATAATGACGCCTGTCGTGAGCGGCTGTTTCGTCGCTCTGTTCATCAGTTTTATGTCTTGAGTTATATTTAGATTTGTGTGACATTTGCTCGTAAAATGAGGTCTCTTTCTTCGCCCTCGAGATCTCAAACCTGAGCTTCTGTTGAGTCAAAGCCTTCTCGTAAGACAACTGTTCCGCTAAATGACTCCATTTGAACCTTCAATGCATAACACAATCATTAATAC